AAAGAATTACTTTGATTACCAGCTTTATCTTTTTACCCTGGTTGATACGGTTTCATACTGGCATGTATTTGTGACAGTCGGCGCGAAAGGGTTAAACTTAGCACTAACCCTAAGTAGAAAATGAGTAATAAGTAGGCGTTACTTCCCTCTGACAAATTGGTGTCACTTTTTCAGGAAAAAATAAAAAAAGTGAAACAGTTCTCTTAGCAAGCTCGCATTTCGTTCTTATCTTTTATATCTCAGCTTTAATCATTTGTTTATGCTGTATTATTAAGTATCGAAAAATTCGTACTATTATACAAGGATGCAAAAGTAGCCCTTTTAAAAAAAGTTGTAGACATTAACCCTTAAATATATAAAGGTTGAAAAAAAAGTTCGGAAACGTTCAAATGTATCAAGAAATATACATTGATCGAAAAAATAAAAATCGACATCTCGAGACTCTTTAAGAACATAATAATATACATGTCCAAAGAAAATAATTTAGAATTATTTTTAATTTTTCTCCGATGGGTCTCGAGTTTGAGCAGTGGTATTTCAAATAGTTCTAAAATCGCCACAATTTCTTCGCGTCACATATGTTGTGTCATTTTAAGCTGAAACATTACCATTGAGTAAAAGGCTAATAATTCTACCACTTTCATTTCTGAAAGAACATTTTTTATTACTGTAAATAAGAGGCATGCTCCTTCACGGGCAGAACTTATCCGTATACTTAATGTCATGCTTTTATTTAATTTATTTTTTATTAATTTAATTTAATTTATTTTTTACTTGAAATATATATATCACTCCGAAAATTTCGAAAAAGTTTTCGAAATTCTTTTCTTTATTTTCTTTCGAAATTCTTTTCTTTATTGAACTTACAAATTCGCTTTATTTTATAACCACCATTGAGAAGCAGCCCCAATTCTGAGTTCAATGTTAAACTCCATGGCCTTCGAATGTTGAACCAACCCAGAAGACATTTGAAACTTCTGGATCAAGTGCTGGAACAAACTAACAGTCATGGAGGACTTTTTGATGAAACTAAACCACATTTGCTTTACTCGGAAAGGAAAATCGCGAAAACCTCCGTCGAGGTCACCCTTCGGCAAGGGGATTCTAATCCATTATTCACCGAACCACTGAGAATACTTTACCTAATCACTGTTGTTGGTGCGAGCCGGGAGCAGAATTCGTATCTACTAGCCAACACAGGGATTCGTACCCGAGTCACCTCATTGAGAGGTGAATGCTCTATCACCTGAGCCACCACGATCCCTCACTATTTTACTTTATTTTATAATGACGTTGAACACCCTACTCAGTTTTGAAATTTTAAACCCTATCCAGAAGACAAGGGAAGTATCGGAAGAGATTTTCCTTCGTAGAGGTTTTTTTATGAAACTAACCTGCATTGGCATTGTATGGTGAGGTAAGAAACGAAAACCTTCCATGATTAGACAGCAAGGGGACTCTAATCCATGATCCGTATACCACTGAGGATAATTTACGTCAGCCCTGTGGTCTTTGCGATCCAGGAGCGTAATTTATATCGACCTGTTAAGGCCGTGATTTGAACTCGAGTTTCCTCGTTGGGAGGCGAGCTCTCTATCCCCTAAGCCCCCTCGGCTCAGTAAAATGCACTTTGAAATGTTTTCGTGTTGTAAGCATGTAAACTATTAATTATAATTCTACACAAGAAGCTCTTAAAAATCATACAAATATTAAACACCAGCCTACACGACGGGACAGAATGGTTTTTAGAGATTCATTTTATAAATAAATTTACCAAATATACTGCAAGAAGAAGCATTCACCGATTGACTGTGTAGTCTAAGGTAAGATTGCTGGAGTTTCCAATAGATGTTTCATTACATCCTTATTATCAAAATTTATGAGAAATCTAGAATTCTTCTCAAATTTTACTCGAAGTCAAATAGTTGATATTTGAGTCTTGAAATCGAATTGTTGCTGTTTTTGCTTCAAGTCAAATAGTTGAAGTAAACGTAATTATAGAAAAATGAAACATCATCCATTTAGCGTGATGTTTTATTTCGGATCATTAAACAAAAGACATAATTCAAAGCAGAAATTGAGAAATAAATAGTAAGTAGTTGGCATCAGAAAAAAAAGTAGATGTTTTCCTAGAAAAAAAAATGAGCACCACTTTCCTTCCCTTTCTCACATTCAGGAATTTTTTTTAATAATATGGTAGGAAAAAAAATCGATTTTACAAACGGTTCTTACTTAATATACAGTACCAGAAATTTTTATAAATCAAAAGAATATCCATCATGATATTAAAATTGTCCAAAAACTACGGAGAGTCCAAAAACTACTTTCTAAGAGAATCTTTAATGTAAATTATCTCTGAAAATAATGATTCGCAGGCATAGGTAGATGAAAATATGGTTAACATAGCACGAGCCAGCTCCTTCAAACAGTTAAATGTGTCTGGTTCCAAACGAATTCCATGTTTCCAAAATTTTGTTATTGGCATTTTTACTTATATTGCTTGTCAATCTTTTTGTTTCAATTAATTCCAACTCTTTTCTTGTTTCAATAAATTTTTGAATCCATATTGAACTAGACTGGAAATCAATCAGCTGCATTTCAAATTCTTCAATATCCAACCAATCTAACTGGGACAAGTTCAATTTATCAGATGAAGTCACATCGGCTTACATAATAAACTTGAGTGCTTCTGATAATTCTTTGAACTGGCAAAATATCACTGAAACTTAATTGATTGAAGAGTCAATTACAGAAATAAATTCTTCAGTGACGGTTTATTCGCCTGGTTTCTCATGCAAATCTAAATCGTTAATATTTTTTTTTCAAGTTTGGAAAAATACTTGTCGTTTCTTGTAATAATATCGTTCTTGAAAACATGCAGTTTAGCCAAAACGCGAATGACATCTGTCATGACGATAATTGTTTTATTTGTGCCATGAAGTTTCACATTCAATTCATTGAAACGGTGACAAATGTCTCTAAAAACGAAATTTCGAAAGCCACATAATATCCAACACCTGTGGGTATTGTTCAATTCCCCCCTCATTTTGCAGAAAAGGTTTGATTTCTTCTAAGCGCATTCCCGTGGCTCAACCAGCGAACAATATTATACATCAGTAAGCCATTATACACCGAGTTGATTTCATCCAACAGAGCATCAAACTTTCGCTTATTTAAAGCCTGCGAAGAAATGAGGTTGACTATTTTTGTGCCTACCACCATTACATTATCAAGAGATGTTAAATCTCTCTTAGCACACAAGGCTTGTTGGTGAATGATGCAGTGGAATTCAGAAATCGAATGCCACAAGCCTGTTTGAAATAAACTTATGAAGCCATATTTTTTGTCCACCATACTTGGAGCACCATCAGTTGTTACTGAAACAATTTTTTTCAAATCAATTTCTTTGTCAATAAGTGAATTTTTAGCAGCCGTACAAATATCAATGCCTTTTGTAGTTGATAGCAACGATGTTATCGCAATAAATTCTTCCTTAATGACGTTTCCTTCGAAATATCGAGCATAAACAGCTAAACGTGCAGATTTAGTGACGTCAGTGCTTTCGTTAAGACATAGCGATATAAAAAGAGCAGGAGTTAATGCCAATTTGTTGATCTCTTACATTCCCGGCCAGTTTAAAGATTCTTTCTTTTATTGGGTTTTTAGACAGAGGAGTATATTTGATGAGCTGAATTATCTTCGAATCGAAATCATCAAAAAGTGATGGCGCGCATACTAACCGGGCTTCCTTCAAAAACTCTCCCTCTTGAAAAGGTTTACTATGCCAAATAATGACATTTGCAGCCGAGTAACTTGCCGCACTCGCATGACAATTTTTACCAACATATTTAATCATAGACGTCGACTGTTTATTTCTGCCTCTTATTGCACTTACAATTAAAATTTAGTGATCGGTGGCGTGCCCAAAATATTGTGTCGCGTACCATTGGTTCTTCATCCATGCCCAAGAGCCTGAAGATCCGATCATTAGATCGAAAATTGTTCTGGTGGGTCCAAATTTTATTTTACGCACTGAATATACTATTTTTAATCACCAGAATTTTAAAAATATCCATTGAAAGTGGCAACACATACTGTGAAAAAAAATCCCAAATTTTAAAGTATCATTTCGAAAGGACGGAAACAGAAAATTGAACAACAACAAAATAAAACGCATTCTAACGCCTGAAGCAAATTTTATTTACTGTCACAAAAGCTATTCAAACATTCATTTGACATATATTTTTATACAGCACAGTTTTTTCAGTTTACAATTAGGGCTGAAAGACGGAAGGATGTAAGACGGAAAAGGACTGAAGACGGAAAAGAGTAAGAACTGGTTACAAAAAAATTTCATTTTTACCTTTTTTTCGGGAATAAAACAAACCAAATTTTTTTTACGGATACAATTTATATTCTGAATTGCTTCTTCACCGAGAAAAAATTTCAACCCCTCGGGGTCTGAGCAGGGGTAAGCTAATCTTTGTAACTTAAGTGTAGAGAGCGACCCTACACGAGTGGTAATTACCAGGGCGGCCGGGACTTTAACACAGCCACACTTACTTACACATATACGCACATCCTCACATTCCTTTAACTCGCCCCCCCCCCTTTTGTATGTACTCCCAAACTGTAAATATTCATTAGTGTTTATTTTCCCATTATACTTTAATTTTACCTTTTTTCATGTGCTATTTCATTACTTGTAATTTTGCTATTACCTAGTAATGGCAAAGTGCCATTTTTTTTTCTTACGAACTCCGTTTTGCTCCCCAAACTTTATTTTTGTCATGCATGTTTCTTAGTCTAATTTCAGGATGAATGGGAAAAGGGCCGTTAGGCCTTAGACACCCAGTTCCACTACAACGAATGAACGAACAGAGAGAAAATTACCGTATGGCCTCAGACTCCCAGTTCCACTACAACGAACGAACGAGAAAAAATTAAAAGCAATGAATTGTCTATTGATAAGAATAGATTTACTCCTCCCGAAAATTATTGAAATAGTTTACTACCAATTTTTTCTCTTTTCCGTCTCGCTTTCAGGCCTGTTTACAATTATTCATACGAAGAAAATTTACCGTTTAAAAAATCGTATTACTAATCTTTTAGCTCTGACATGAAGCTTCTGATAAAGATGAAAAAGGATGCCAATTATTGTATCGAAAAAATCGCATAAAGCGATTAAAGATATTCCAAGCCATATTCCTATGTAGCCTCCTATGTTACTCCATAACTCCACCCTCTAAAAAAAAGAGACCAATTATAATTACTAAAATTTCCCTTATTCCCTAAAACGAAACGTTTTACGGATTTACTTTGCAATATTTTCCCTCACTTTTTTTGAGGAGCACAAAGATTTCGTGTCACTCGAATACTAGCTCTTCATAAATTAGTCTCAATAAATAATATTTACGTAACTTTAATTTTTGCTTAAATTTATGCTTTTTTAGAAATAATTATTGGTTTCATAAAAATGGATATTTAATTTGAAACTCTTTAAATTATTTACTTCCTTGAACATCATAAAAATTAGAATAGATTCAAAGTGAAATTGGAATTTAAGAAATGGAATATTATTTTAAATCCAATTTTTACCTCCGTAGTTTTTATTAACACAATTTTTCAGACTATTTTATCGTATTGTTTGACAAAGTTTTCGATTTTTACAGTTTTTTATTTGTTATTTTTTATTAACTATAAAGTTTTGCTCTCTAAAAAACTTCATATCTCGATTTTACAATTTTTAAAATTGTTTCTGCTTTATTAGTTCATTCAAAAACAGGCTCAAAACAGTTCATATATTAAAAAATCAATTGTGTTATAAGTCGTAATTTAAAAAATTCTCATAAAATGAGTTCGAGTAATACTCTTGTGTACAAAATTTTAAATAATATTTGTCTAAATAATTTTCGCACAAGAAAAGACTTCCTTTTTGCTCCTAATGAATAAGACCTAAATTTTATTTAACCAATAAAAGTTTGTCACGTAATTTCTTTCCCAGCAAAACTATCTTCGATTTCTTAACCTTGCTTATATTCTTAATAAAAATAGCAATTATAATGTGCTTTAATGATGGAAAAATCAGTCCTAAAAATGTAATTTCGAGAATCAGCACAAAATAGCTATTTTTTTCACATTGACGCGATTGATTTTAAATTTTACAATAAAAAGTACCGTCACCCTGACTGCTGGTACTTTTTACCTCAAATCGGACCCGAATTTTTTACAGTGTACTCAGTACCCTAAAATTGTTTAATTTACATTGTTTGGGTTATTAATCTGGTTGAAAAGTATATTTCCTTGCTTTAAATCTGAAATCTACGTAGTTTTGAAGATGTTCGTAAGTTTTTGAGCTGAAGCTACATTTTCTTTCTAAGGCATTTTTAAAATTAGTTATAAAGTATTTTTAAAGTATATTTCGATTCCTTTGATAGATATATTTTCAACTTTCACTGCTAGAATCTTAGTTATTTATTTAAGCCTNAGCAAAGCGAGCATTGGATTGCGAAGCAATCTGAAATGAACTGTGAAAGCAGTTCAGGGGGTTGGTGAGCGCCATCGAGCAGGGGACGAAGCCTCCTAGTTACTAATATTTCCCTTATTCCCTAAAACGAAACGTTTTACGGATTTACTTTGCAATATTTTCCCTCACTTTTTTTGACGAGAACAAAGATTTTGTGTCACTTGAGTACTAGCTCTTCATGAATTAGTCTAAAAAAATAATATTTACGTAATTTTAATTTTTGCTTAGATTTAGGCTTTTTTAGAAATAATTATTGGTTTCATAAACATGGATATTTAATTTGAATCTCTTTAAATTATTTACTTCCTTGAACATCATAAAAATCAGAATAGATTCAAAGTGAAATTGGAATTCAAGAAATAGAATATTATTTTAAATCCAATTCTTATCTCCATAGTTTTTATTAACACAATTTTTCAGACTCTTTTATCGTATTGATTGACAAAGTTTTCGATTTTTACAGTTTTTTATTTGTTATTTTTTTATTAACTATAAAGTTTTGCTCTTTAAAAAACTTCATAGCTTGATTTTGCAATATTTTAAATTGTTTCTGCCTTATTAGTTCATTCAAATACAGGCTCAACACAGTTCATATATTAAAAAATTAAGTTTTAAGTTTTAATTTAAAAAATCGTCATAAAATTAGTTCGAGTAATACTCTTGTGTACAAAATTTTAAATAGTATTTGTCTAAGTAATTTTCGCTTAAGAAAAGAGTTCCTTTTTGCTCCTAATGAATAAGACCTAATCTTTATTTAACCAATCGAAGTTGTCGAGCAATTATTTTTCAGCAAAATTATTTTTACCCCTTTACCTTACTAATATTAATAAAAAAAGCAATTCTTTATACATTACTTTATAGTCATTTTTGTTACCTTTTTCTAAATAAATAAACAAATAGATAAATTAAGTAAAAAAAACACTAATTATCTTTATATTGCTTCATGGTTGTTGTTTTTTTGAAATTCTAATGAGCTTTAAATGATTGGAAAAGCAGTCATAAAATTGTAATTTCGAGAATTAGCCCAAAATAACTATTTTTTTCACGTTGACGAGACTGATTTCACATTTTACAGTAAAAAGTACCGTCACACTGACAGCCGGTACTTTTTACCACAAATTGGACCGGAATATTTTACAGTACTCAGTACCCTAAAAATGTTTAATTTACATTGTTTGGATTATTAATTTGGATGAAAATGTGTATCTCTTTGCTTTAGATCTGAAATCTACGTAGTTTTGAAGATGTTAGTAAGTTTTTGAGCTGAAGAGCAATATATTTTCTTCATAAAGCATTTTTAAAATTAGTTATAAAGTATTTTTAAAATATATTTCGATTCCTTTGATAGATATATTTTCAACTTTCACTGCTAGAATCTTAGTTATTTATTTAAGCCTAATTCCAATTTTTTTATTTCCTTTTTAATTTCTTATATTGAAAAGAAAAACCTTTTCCAAGATTTTAATTTCTGAGGTTGTTATTGTTTTAATTCCCTAAAGCCTTTTTTTTGTTTAGGATTAAGCTGAGGAATTTCTTGTACAATCAAAACTACCATATAATGTTAAAATGTACAGTTTTTCTTACTCTATGGTAACAAAAATAAACGCTAGGTAGTTTTGAACGAAGCGGGTTGGTAATAACTCTTATAAAATTAACAATAAAATATGGTCTTATCACTTGTGAAAAAAATCGGTAAATGAGGTAAAATTTGTAATTTTATCGTATCTTAGAGTATATCATAAAAAACATTTATTCGGTTAAATTTACTTTTCAGTTTTGTATGTTTTACTACATGTGTAGTAATGAGAATTTCAGGTAAACCGCTACCATATAAACGGAAAAATTCCGTAATGAATGGTTTAAATGCAGTACTTTTAAATACTAGAATTATGATTTATTGCTAGAAATGTCATTATCATTCAGTCCGTAATTTTACAAGAATTACTTTCTTTGTGTTTTATTTCATAGAATTATTATTATTTTTTGTTCGTGTATACTAATAATATATCAAGTTGTATATCAAGTGAATATATCAAGTGAAACGCTCAAGTGAATCTCCCTTTTCTCTTGAGCAATAAATCCATCCTCTCCCTAAACTAAGAAAGGAATATAATTTTTTTTGATAAAATAATATTATATATAATGTTCAATACCTCTATTTTTATTTTCTTGATACCCCTATACATTCATAAGCATTTATGAGTACATTTATTAATGGAATACAGAAGTTTGAAATCAAGCAAATAAAGAGTACTTATTAGAAATATATATATATATATATATAAAANGTTTATTTTTGCCCTGCACATTCATTAGATTTTAATCATTGCTCTCATTGCAAAAGCATTTGCACGTTTCCTCTTAAAGTTATAAAAAGGTCAGCAAAACAGTAAAAGAAATCATTTGATTATATATATACACTCAAGAGCCAAAACATCAAGAGCCCTACATTTTGCAATGAACTCTCCTGGATGACGTGGAAGGCACGTGATGAGGTGGAAGTGGGATTTAACTGTTGCTGGAGAGTTTGAAGACTCATTCTTTCACTTACTTCTGTGTGTGATGGGAAAGGCTGCGGATCTAAGCGACTTTGATAGAGGGCAGATTGTAATGGCTCGAAAGCTCGGAACAAGTATTTCCGAAACTGCACGACTGGTGGGTTGTTCGCGATGTACAGTTGTTAGTACTTATACAAAGTGGATGAATGACGGTGAAACCAGCAATAGACGACATGGTGTTGGACGACCACACGCTATCAAAGAAAAAGATCGTCGGAGATTGTCTCGCTTGGGGAATCAAAACCGGAGATAGACAGTGGCTCAGCTGACAGCCCAATACAATTCAGGGTCAAGTAAAGTAGTATCAGAGCACACTGTTCAGCGTACACTGTTGGATATGGGGCGACGCAGCATACGCTTTGCTGACCAAGTGTCATCGCCAACTACTCCTGCGCTGGGCCCGGGGAACATCGTGACTGGTTCATGGATCAGTGGGAGAGAGTTGCCTGGTCAGATGAATCACGGTTTGTCATTCATCACGCCGATGGCCGTGTCAAGATATGCCGTCTTCCTGGCGAACAGTTGCTCCCTCAATGTACAGTAGGTCATACACAGGCCAGTGGTGGCGGTATTATGTTTTGGGGAACGCTCTCCTGCGTGTCTCTGGGATCCGTGGTTGTGGTAGAGCAGACCATGAATGCTACAGGGTATCTGAACATCTTTGCGGACCAGATGCACCCTTATATGGCCTCAGTTTTTCTAATAGGAAATGGAATTTTTTAACAGGACATCGCCCCGTGTCACAAGGCTCGAATTGTGTTGGAGTGGTTCCAGGAACATGATGCTGAATTCCAGTTAATGTCCTGGCCACCTAATTCACCGGATCTCTATCATCACCGGAGAACACATTTGGGATGTCATGAATCGGCAGCTCAGAGTTCAAAGACCATTAAGTCGCAATATCTCGGATTTGCGTGAACGTTGCTTAAACATCTGGTACAATCTGTCTCCGGCCATCTACCAAGGACTTGTGGCATCCATGCCATGGCGGGTTGCAGCTGTGTCGCGGGCTAAAGGTGGGCCAACTCGTTATTAAGAGGTGGTCATAACATTTTGGCTCTTGAGTGTATATCAATAAGATATTAGTTAGAGTTTTCAATAAAATTATTTACCTCAAACTTCGGTCTATAAGAATAAGTTGTAGTCGGCATCTCATTCAAATGAATAATCACAGTTATATTGTGACTGAAAAAAAAAGACTCATAAAATTTCAAATTTTAACCTGAAAAATTATTTAAAAACTTTCTTTTTGTGTATTAAATAAACGATGTAATTAAAGATAGAGGTAAAGAAATAATTGAAAATGTTTAAGAGCTAGCGTGTTATGAATTTTTTCTGGAAGTAAAAGTGTCATAAGCGCTATTTAGATAACATAAAAAACTTTATTAACTTAAAAATTAAAAAGATATAGGAAGTCGACACGCGTCGAGCATTCGATCATACGCGCCCATTTTCAAAACTCTACCAAACGTGAATGGTGTTTTCTGAGTCTTGAAAATACGGGACTAGCGCTGGAAAAGTATCCACTTTTCCATTTTTAATGCAATTAGAATTTTTCACATTATACATTTCGTATACAGATATTCCAGCTTCAGTTTCTTGGGATTAATTATTCTACAAGTGCTTTTTCCTCTTTGAAATAATATGTTTTCAATACGTCAAATTTGTAGTTACATTCCTGTGGCCTATATGGTCTTCATGCGTTTTATGCTGTTCGCTTAAAAGTATTTCCCAAATTAATAACAGCATTTTAAATTTTTTTATTTTATCGCACTCTCTAAATATTTCCCTGCACGTGTCGTAATTTCAAGTCTCAAAATGTTATAGTTTTAACGCAATAAAACTAAATTTTTCACTATGTTGAACACCCAAAACAGATGTGACAATGGCAGCAGCCGTTACTATTTTTTTACAGGGAGAAATAAAAACAATTTTTGCTCAATTTTTTTGCATCAGATTTCTTTAAATAAAAAATCGAGATGGAAAATATTCATCGATTAAACTGGGATCAAGGACTGGAGCCTTCCATCCGTTCTATCATTTTTGTTAAACATATTTTCACACATTTATGCAAAGGATTCGAGAAACGAAAGTTTCTAGAATTTTTATAAGGCAGAGTGTGCTACTATTTAGAAGATCTTGACTGTCCTTAAATTAATGAACTTATATCAACTGTTTATTTTTGCCCTGCACATTCATTAGATTTTAATCATTGCTCTCATTGCAAAAGCATTTGCACGTTTCCTCTTAAAGTTATAAAAAGGTCAGCAAAACAGTAAAAGAAATCATTTGATAGTAAGATGACCGGATGTGATTAATGCACATTAGAACTCATAAAATTGATCTCCAAATCGAAAATCCCCAAAGGATTGTTAAAAAAGTGTTCAAAGAGCGAGAATAAAACTTCGTGTGAGTGTGTTTTGTCGTAATATACTGCTAACAAGAAAACTCGTTTAGCTCCATATCAGGAAATTAAAACAAAAGAAAACACCCTTGTATGAGAGAAAAAAAATTCTCATTCAGAAAGGAGAAAGCTTTCTACTTATTTTACTGCCTGCAGCTATATCCATCATCAGTTCCCTCATTCATGGAGCACGGTAAGAAGTTTGTGCTGGTTCCGGAAGACAGAGTTCAAGTTCAAGAACACTTATCGGAATTGGGTCAACAAATGAAAAATACTGCATAAAACAAGGACTTAACAGATGCTAGAGAAGACGACTTTGTATTCACAAGTATTGTAGAAATATACATATTTTTCGATAAAGAAACAGGATATTTCCGAATCCAATCATCAATTGCAGGAGATCCAGGAATTAAGACTGTAGAAGAAAACTCTTCCAAAATCAAAAATGAAACAGAGGACTTTGAAGAAAAAATTTTGATTATAGTTCCGACTCGATTTCAAGAGAAAGTTAAAGATATCTACAAGTTTCTGAAAACTCAAGAATCCATTATTTGGAATACTAAAGGAGAAATTATTTATGAAGATAATGCCGTTCCTGGAAGCAATATTGTAAACCTTATTAATGACTTCTTAAGAAACAGAAAATCAGCTTCTGTAGGGAGAAATGTATTTTAAAAAGCATTAAGTGATGTTCGATTGCCAACACATTTAGATGTAAATAAAAAGCTGTTCATTGTAAATAGAATAAAAAAACCTGTAATGTATGCTCGCAGAAATGGTTGGTTGAAAATTTAAAAATAAATGCTATTGATTTAAACTTTTTCTCTTTGTTATTGTCGTCCAAGTTTTATTTTCGTGTAAAGTAATACATTCATAATAAAATCTTTTCAATTAAAATTTAAAAATAAATTTTACTAAAAAATTTGATTTACAAAAATTTTTTTAAATTTTTTTAAGAAAAGTTTTTCTTAAAATATATCTTCTGAAATTTTTTTTCTTGCATATAACGATAGTGTTTATAAATATTCTTTTTTTCTAGGAAAGAAACGTTTTCTAAAAGTAATCACTTTTGAAAAGTTTTCATAAAAATATTTTTTTTTCTTATATATAAAAAATAAAAACGTTAGAATTTTTTTTTTCGTAGGCGGAAAATTTTCTAACCGTATTCATTTCTTAAAAAGGTTTCTACATTTTTTTTTCTAGTAATAAAATAAAAATTTTATAATAGAAGAAATACGCAATATTTCAGTTTAATCTTATTTTATTATTTTCTAAACACAAATCTTACACGTATCTTTTCTTAACAAATTGATGCATGGGAAAATCAGTTATATACAACTGATTTAAAATATGATGCATAGAATGGCCTTGATATCGTTTAAGTAAGAAGTAAATACAATATTGAATACACACTTTCTCGGTAGGTGATTGAAATTCTCTACAATTTCATTGTACAGCTGAATAAGGAGATGTATTTATGCGATAAAAGCTGAATGGTCTACCAAAAGAGTCATTCAATTCTACCTCATTCTTCTGATTCGCAAATAAAGCAATCCAGTGAGTACCGGGCTGTGTGGAATTATCGGAATTGGCTCACGCACAAGAATTTTTTCCGTAGCGTCGGCAATGGATCTCTCGAATAAACTCCTTGAAAATAAAGTGATGTAATCTTTTCCTAAGATAAAATGCGAAATAGTTGCATTCCATCCATTCTTCAGTTTCCCAAGTCATACAAAATATTTTTTGATTTGTTAATCTCGTTTGAAATTTCTCACTCGGCAAAAATAATGACATATACAGTTTGCTCTGGAGATTTGTTAGATTTCAGTTCCAGTCATGTGTTTAATCAGGTTTCGATACTTTCCTGAACATAAATCTGAAGACTGATCAAATCTAAACAATGTAATTTCGTTCACGTATTCTTCTCCGGAAATAAATATTCCTATGTCTTGACCCACTCGTTCCGTACCGGTAAATAAAAATTGATAAGCATGAATGTATTGGTTTTGTGAGAAATCGCGTTCTAGAGAATTGTGAGGTACTGGTTGTCCGTCAACATACACTCCAATAAAATTTAAATCAAAATGTTTAAATTCATAAGGAGATTTTGTAAGTGATCCGAGGAAAGCATCATTATCTACACATCCTACAATCACTTTTTTTGGCATTTGGCCTGAAAATACATTATCTTGAATAAAAGACATGTATCTTGAATAACGACAATAGAATTCACTTTTCAGAGGATTCGATTGATAGGATATTTTGCACTTGTTTTTTTCCAATGCCTTTGCATGACCAAGTATAACTTCAGGATTCACACAAACTTTTCTGATGATTAAAGACTCATGATCCAGTGCTACTTTATATCCAGCACATCCTTTTAGACAAAATTCGGATGCACTTCGCATCAGTTTTATTTTCAAATCAACTAAATTAAGTAAAAGTCTCTTTTGGTAAAATAAATCTGAATGTATGCATCCAATCATGTCCACTATGGCAATTTCTTTGAAAAAATTTGTTATTTCCTTTAAACCATCATCAGAATCTTTTTAAAATAGTTCAGCTGTTACCTGAGATGTTTTATTTGATCTGTGATATTTTTGTTTGATTATTGGTTGTAAAAAAATTCACATTTATGTTTTTTAAATAATTTTGAACAATCTTATTTTTAAATTCTATTCCATCACCTCATTGAAATGATTGAGGTTTCCGTTCTTTAAAAACTGCTTCTAGTGGTACTTTAAATTTTTTCCTGTTTTATCTTTAAAGGGAATAGCCTAGATATATATAGCGAAAACATCGATGCAAGTCTTATTAAATTTATTTATTTAATTATAGCCTTTATTAAATTCAGAACGAGATTGCATATCAACTAAATCAACTTGAAATTGTATATTCATGTCACTCATTAAAACACGATTCCGTTGAAATTTAAGCCTAAGAGACTTACGTAGTGTGTAAGAATTTTTAAAGCAGAGCCACTGTTTAATAGTATTTGCCTCCACTTCATCAACGAGAGTACGGTGCAATGCACCAACACCATAAAAACTAGCTGGTAGCTTAGGATCTTTATAAAGCGCATCCATATTAATGATACAAAGTTTAAATAAGAAAAGATTATGCAGTTGAGTCGACCTATAGTTCTGCTATTATCAACTATATACACAAATAAGAAAGAGTTATAAAGGAAATCATAAAATATTTATTGATGCTGAACTTGAGCAAAAGTCATTTCTTGCTATTTGTAGCAGTTCAACAAGATCAATAGATTCTGGGAAATTAGAAGTTACAAAGCTTAATAAATTTTCATGAGAGATAGGATGACGTGTTTTGTTTCTAACAGTATCATAAATTATTTTTTAATAATTTCATTTGGTTTGATATTCATTAAAAGTGTGTTGAATGAACGCTCTAAATGACTTAAGGCCTGGTTTCTTAGGACAGGACGCCGTCAGCTGGAAATCAGCGTTAACCTCTGATTGGTCCATTTGTGAGTTTGATAGTATACGTCATTGAACGCTCATCTTGAACTACAACTGCCGTCCGACACAACTGCAGTTGGATTACAACGTGACGTTAACCACAGAAGCAATGGCGGACAACATCCAACAGCACATTGAAATCAGCCAAGATTTTGATTTTGACATTAAACATAGCTTCTTCATAAAACATAGCATTCTTCATTTAACTGAGCTATAATGTGTTCTTTCTTGGACAAAGTCATTTTTTGTTCTCTAAAACACTAGTCGACAATAACAAAATCAATACAAATTCAAAATAAATATTTGTTTGCGTTATTAACGCATGCGCAATGAGAGATAATGTCTGCGTTGGACCGACTGCTCAAGCTGAGCTAACAAAAAAGTATTTTTTTGGCGTCAGCTCTACGTCAACTTTCCGCTGACGCCCAAATAAGGCGCTAGTTCTAAGAAACCAGGCCTTGAGCTAACAAACCAATATTTTGTTGGCGTCAGCGGAACGTTGACGCCCCGCTGACGCTCAGATAAGGCACTTGTCCTAAGAAACCAGACCTTAACTTTCATAGGATTAACTATGTCTTCGTGATTAGCTAAAAGCTTGAATATTTCAGTCCATAAGATGTGCCTTAAAGTTTCGATGATAGTTCCATTCTCTTCGGGAGCTACAACTGGCACAGGATACGTTAGCACATCTTCAAACATATTTCTTAAAGTCCAAATGACTATATTTAAAATAGTATAAATTGTCCAGCAGAAATTCTCGGAGTGAAAATATTTTATGCAATTGGGAACCATTTAGGATTAAGTTTGTCGTGAAATTATTTCCATTTCGACAAGTACTAACTTTCTTAAGGATGACGGCTTCTCGAAATTCAATCATCACGATATTTTGCCACTTATCTTTATCTTGAATGCCGACACTAGAGAGAGAGTTTCAGAATTTACACTCACTGGATCAATGAAGCATGATAAGTCTATAGAGTATTCGTCAAGAGGGTGTCGTTTCAGTCTTTCATCTTTCGTCGTTTCAGTCAATTAACTGTTCAATAAACTGTTTACTAAATGAATAAACTGGTAAAGTGTTAGAGTTATTCCTTCCTTCCATGGATAGAACTTTTCTTTCTATTTCTAGTATTCTCTTGCGTCAATTAGAATCCGTTCATTGTTAATAGAACTGGAAATAAAGACGTCTTCTCCTAAAGGAAACATAGTTTCGTGAAAAGGACTTCGGGGACACTAAAATAATAATAAAAAGAACTTATTAAGATAAACAATATTAAGCATTGAACAAAATCCATCAAAATGAATAAAAGAATACTTACTTCAGCAGCTTTTCGTTTTAATTTAGCCATTTCTATACTTAAAAAGACATACAGGAAAAAGCAAAGTTGTTTCTTATGATTTCAGTGAGAAGCTTTGATTTTTATAAGATAGATTACAACCTAGAATGCATTGCTTGGATAACTCATTTCTGATTGGTTCAAAAAACATGATGTCATTGGATGTCTTTTCTGATTGACTTAATGATGATGATGATAGCACCTGTAGTAATAAACTCGAAAAATGGAAAATAGAGCGCCTCTAGCGGGAAAAGCAAATCAATGTGGTGCAGGATATATCTTGTTTAACTTGTTAAACACTAAGAAAGTTCGTGAAAAATGAGTAGTATCATGTTTAACCTTGCATATCTGAAGTCAATGTACTCTACATAAAGGTTTATAAAAAATTAAATTTCTAATTTAAAAGTAATTAATTAAAAATGACTAAAATAAATAATCCAATATTTAAAAAAATCTAAATTATTGGAAAAATTAATCAGCATAAAAAAATTTCAAAATGGAAAAATTTTCTGAGTTTCCAAAAACTTTTTTTTTATAATAGATAAAATTAAATTTTCAATCACGAAACAACCATCCCGCGGAGACATTTTGAGGTCGCGAGTTCGAACCTTGAAATTTCATTTTCTGAACACTTTAAAGATCTAAGTAAACTTATCTAATTTCTTAAATAATACTTCAAAGAATCGTTAGATGGCACCACGAGTCATTAATAATTAATTATTAAGTATAATCATTAATAAATGTTTAAATATAGCCGTTGATTAATTATCAATTAAAACCATTGTTTAGTTTTAATCAAAATAATTCTTCGTCTATTGGTATCGTTCGCCATCAAACACGGAAAATAAATTCAAAGTTTCATGTTGCCACTAAAAAAAAGTAATATTATATTTAAAGCCGAAACTAAGTCCAAATTTTCATGTTGGCAGAAATAGGAACAGGCTGACTGTGACGTCACTTCCACGAGATCAAAAAAAAAAAAAAAGTCTCTGTTATCCCCCTGAATCCCCAAAGTTCCTGACGCAGAAGCCCCTTTATCTTAATACTAATGTTAGCTCAAAAAGTTACGTTAAATATGAAATATGTATATGGTATATTAATTGATATCGATTTTTCCACATAATATTTTCAGGTTTTCTCACTTTGTTCACCCTGATTGTTGATAAACAATGATTTATTAATTATTAACCTTTTTAACCAACTTCGAAGAGTTGGTAAAAAAGTGTTTATAGTTTCGAAGTATTTAGTTAGTATATAATAAAAAGACGGAATATATCACAAACGATGACGATGTTATCCGAATTAATAAAATGGAGATTTCAAGAATTGGGGATTTTAAAAATAAAATCATAATTTTTATAAGTTTGTTTTCGAAGACATTATTCGGATATTAGAGCGCTATTAATAGTTTTAAACTATTTATATATTGAGAGAAATTATTCTTTAGGATATTATTTTTTTATGATCCCGTGTTTTTTTAAATTCTTCCTTTCAATATATGAACAAAACTATCGCATAAGCACATAGTGACTAAATTTTTCTTGCGAATCGATCAAGTTCTGTTCTCAAATAACGACAGTCAGTGATAAACTCATGGTCGGAAAATATATCAGTTGGTAAATATGCACTAGAACTAAAAATAATTTTTTTTTGACAATTATTAAATATTCCTAAAAATATCTTTCTACTCAATCTTTCCTTTGCTTTGCAGTCAGGTCCTAGAAAAATTTCCAAAATATGAAAATTCTCTTAATTTTAAACCCTAAATATAACATTTCTGATCAGTCTTACATTAAGTTTGATTTTTTGCTCTTCTGTTCTATCGAATGTTTATTACACTGGCCCTGAAAAAAAAAACAATATAAAAAATTAATTACCTTCAATAAAAATTCCATTCGAAAGTTGAAAAGTCAGGAGAAAATGAATAAAATTTGAATAAATATAAAAAGACTTTAAGGCTGCTGCCTATTGTAAACTATTTTGCTACACTCACTCTGACCTCAGTAAACTATTCTCAATGCTCACGGCGTCATTGGAGCGTGTTGAATCATGTTATCATACACAAATTACTTGAAACCATAATAAGATGCTGATTTAAGCTAGATTGTCGTACTTTTTCACGTGAGTACAGAATATTATGAATCAACTGGAGCAAAAATATGGTTCAGTTCAACACTTTATTAAAACTGGGAGCAACTTTTCGTTGTATAACGATTCAAGGTACCGATATTTAAGTTCGAGGCAGAACCGATATTTCTGAACGCGTTGAAAAACACATTTGTACTGCGTACTCCTTAAAAATTAGAATTCAATTCAAAAGAATTAAATAAAAAAAATCGCAAAATTTGGGGAAAAAATCAAATAATAGCTCAAACTATTGATAGCTCCGTTGATTTATCAGTGAGACCATATTTTCCAGATTGCCGCGCAAACCTTCATGCTTTAGATTTTGAGAGTATGAAGCAAGCTTACATATATATGGCACAATCCATAAAAAATTTACACCCATGATACAAAAATGATATAATTTTTTTTAATTGTTCTTTATTGAAAATAAATCAACACGTATTTTTGCGTTTTTGTTTAAATTGCATATTTTTGACTATACGAATTTTTGAAAATTTCGCTTTTTTGAGCGCACGACTTTGCAAGTTATTTTTTAACGTATTGCCACCCAACAACAAAAATATTTAAATACACTTTCTTGAAGTGATTTTTCTCAAATTTTAAGAAAATCAACATTAAAATATAAAATTTTTTGTTTTTGACATAAAAAAATTCATTTTTTTGCAATTTGGACATCTTTGATTTTTTTTATATTTCAACAGTGTGAAGTATAATCCACAATGATATTAATTCCAAATTTTTGGAATGGTAAGACACTTTGTTCGAAAGATAAAAACAAAACAGCGACGGCGCGCACTCCGCGTATGTATGTACGAGTAGAATATGACTCGACTGTTCTCGAACTCATCCGCTACCTACTAAACTAGAGCGCGGCTTCACTGTTTTGCCGCTTTTTATTTTAACTACCGCACATATTGAAAATAAAAAGAATAAAATAAAAATAAAATAAAAAGAATATTCCTATAATTTTTTTTATAAAACCTTGTTTTGTAATTCTGTTTCAATTAACATAGTAAACAAATGACTGTAACTAGCAACAATTTTACTGCGATTTCAAGAAAAAAAACTAATTACTCATTTAATTATGTTAATGTTTATCAAACGATTTAAAATATTGTGTTTGTTGGTGTAAAATCAAATCAAATTTTGTAATAAAAGCACCAACTTGCCTCGTTTTGCACTTCATCAGCATCTTTAATCACTAGGTAGGATTCTTCGCTGAAAATGAAACAAACGAAATTACACAAATTGACGACTTCCAAATAACGAGCAAAAAAAAAAAAAAAAAAAAAAAAAAAAAAAAAAAAAAAAAAAAAAAAAAAAAAAAAAAAAAAAAAAAAAAA